CCATCCATCCATCCATCCATCCATCCATCTGTCCATCCATCCATCCCTGCCTCCTTCCCAAGACTGGAGCACCCCAAGCAGCCAATGAAAACCCAACTGAAGATCCACCTGTGAGCTTCACCTTCAAGAAGTCACGCTATGATACACCAAGCATTGAGCTAATCAACCTCATTAAGAAACTCGTTAAGATTCTGCTGTAATCAAAGGAAGGAGAAGGGGCAAAAGGGAAGTTGGTGGAACATGGATCAAACTGTTCAGTGCTGGTTAAAGAAGAGGAAGAAGGATGCTGGGAACCAACCAGCCCATAAAAGACCTTTGGTCCACAAAGTGATACCAACTGTATATTTAGTGCTTTTTTTTAGGATATATTTGGGGAGTTATGTGATTTTGGCTGGTTTTTTTTTTAGGATTTGCAGTTGAAGGGGTTTTTTTTCTTTTAAATGAGATTTTTCATTTTACAGCAGCTGGAGAAACTGAGGTGCACTGACAAGCAACACCCCCAAATTCCTGGGTTCAGTCCCAACTGTTTCACCTCCAGTGCTGCCAGCTATGCCTGGGATGGGCAGGACCACGTTGTCCTCTCCCTGCCACGTGTGCTGTGGCCATGTCCACCACTGGTGGTGCTCCCAGCTTCTCCCTGGAGCTGAGCTTTCAGCACAACGCCGCCCTGCCTCCTCCTCCTGGAGCAGGACTGGAGCCCTTTCTGGAACACTTCTTATAGCACACACTTTCCTGTTTTCCCACGGGTTATGAAATGCAAAGGAGATTTTTTTTTTTCACTTGGCTGTCAAGATTTGGCTAGAAACTTGTTTACTGGGCTACAAAGCAGGGAAACCAGATAGTGCCATTTCTCTGTTATCTGCTCAGCTTGGGAGGCATAAAATTCGTGGCAATTCTCAGGCGTGGGGCGGGTGGGAGGTGTTTTGGCAGCTGAGGAGAGCACTGCCATGGGAGGATGCACCCTGGCGGTCTCTCGGTGGCTGTTTCGAGGAGTAATTGGCATTTTGTGCTCATTTTTTTTTGGATTTAACGATGCTCTGGCTCGTTATTATGCCCAGAGGAATGGAAGGGAAACGGGTCGGCAGACGCGCTGGCTCGCCAGCTCCAGTGGATGAGGAGTGATGGGTGATGCCAAGTGGTGGTGTTCATCCATCCCTCGGCTTGCTGGCGCAGCACTCTGCACCAGCTCTTCCCAGATGTACCCTCCCCAGGTCCAAAAAGCCTCCCAGCACAGCTCCAGCCAGGCCACGGGCAGGACAGGGGCTCTGTGCAGAGCGTGGCTGGGCCCAGAAATCAGATGGAAGCATCAAACACCAGCATGGCCATAAACCACCTGGATGCTTTCAGCTCCAAACCCAATTTTTTTCAATCTGATGGAATATTTTTATATATTCAATGTAAGATTTGATAAAAAATCTTCCCAGTGTGGGCGTGACTGCAGGTGGGGTGTTGAGCCTGGAGCAAAGGAGGCTCAGGGGAGACCTTCTGGCTTTGCACAGCTCCTGACAGGAGCCTGGAGCCAGGGGGGGGTCGGGCTCTGCTCCCAAGCAACAAACAACAAGACAAGAGGAAATGGTCTCAAGTTGCACCAGGGGAGGTTTAGGATGGACATGAGGAAAAATTTCTTCCCCAAAAGGTTTGTCAAGGCCTGTCCCAGGCTGCCCAGGGCAGTGGTGGAGTCCCCACCCCTGGAGGTATTTAAAAGCCATGGAGATATGCTGCTGAGGGGCATGGGTCAGTGGTGACCTGGCAGTGCTGGGTTAATGGTTGGACTCCATGATCTTAAAGGTCCCTTGCAACCAAAATGATTCTATGATTCTACAGTTCTATGATTTTGTGATTCTATGTTTCAGAGATTGAACAAAGCAGGGCAAGGGGATGCTCTCAGGAGATGATATCCTGCTGTGGCATCATGGGCATCATGGTAATAAGGTCCCTCCTTGGAGCTGTCCTCAGATTAAGGGCAGCTTAGCTAAGAACATCACCACATCTGTGCAGGCACAGAGCATTTACACCAGTACCAGGCAAAGAAAGAAGGTGATGACCATGAGATAGCAGCAGGCAGGTGCTTCTCTAGCTCCAGAAGCACAGTGGCTGCTATTGGGAAGTCCAAGCCCTCTACAGAGCTCCTCTTTGCCATAGACTTAAAAACTTATGGATACATTATCAATCTATTGCATCTTCCCTCTTACAGGGAACTCACAGTTTCCACGAGGATCGTTTTGAAGGTGGGTATCCTCAGAAAAGCCAGCAGACAGTACCCACCCCCCAGAAGAAGGGGTCTTGGTGTATAGTCTCGTGTTGGATTTGCACTTTCCCAACCTTGGCACTACATTTTACTACTCCCTGGCCTTGTAGGTGGTCTGAAACAAAGGAAATTATTTTTTTTGCCCTCACTTTAGTGTTTTGTGAGAGCTGATAATGTGATTCCCAAACTCCAGGCTGCTGTGGAGGAACTCCACAGTTTTTGCTTGAGTTTTGGGGTGAACTTCTGGCCCCTTTGCAAAGGGAAAATGTTTTTCCATTAGCCTTTGCAGAGGGAAAGTTTCACCCTCCAGAATTTCCCATCTCTCTTTTTCTGAGACCTGGGTGGGCTGAGCTGGTCCTTCTACTTGAAGGAGACCACAAGGGCCTCTTCTCCTTCCACCATAGCCCCAACTTCATGATGCTGCTGAGTGTAGGTTTGCAGTTACCATTTTGCACCCCAAAAAGTGGTTGTTTCTCATTTTGATGCAGTTACTCTCCTCTCTGGAGGCTCAGAGTAGCACAGGTTAAAAGCTGATCTCCAGCAGCTGCTGATGCTGAGCAGAACTCCCCAGGGGTGGTACTTACACAGCTTTTAGCTTCCTTCAGGTACAGGGTGGGCTGATTTTTTAGCACCTGTTCTTTGCAGATGACCTGGAAAGACACAAGAAAAGCAACTCTGAAATTGCTGTTATAGGTTGGAAGTTGGTCACAAGGTCGGCCCAAGCCAGGAAACATCCCAACCAAAGCTCTGAGCCATTTTATGGGAAAGAGACAGGCCCAGGACCCCCTCCCTCAACCCTTGATGTGTGGAAAGGGTTTCCATCGATGACTGATGTGGTTACTAATGCACTTCCCAAACCAGGCCTGTGGGGTGAAGCAGGAATTGGCTCAGGCAGTAGAAGATCCACACCAGTGGGCCACGGTGCAGTCCCACCCTATGAACGATGAGCATCTAGAAACAGAACCCCCCTTCCTCCCCTTCCTAGCACTGCATCTTTAGCTGTCCTGGTGTGCAGGACACACTACACTCCAGAACATTTTCTGCTAACATCATCCATGCACAGACTGCACTGAACTGTGGTCTTTGCCTTCTCCTCAAGTCCAAGTCCACCCCAAGGCAGCTCCTGCTCTCCATAACGCTTCCCTCCCTCTTCCCAAATTTACTTCTTCCCTGTTCAGCACCCAGACCAAAGTTCCTTTCACCTCCATACTCTGTGTCTCTTCACTGGAAAGCCACAGGAGAGAGGGGTTGGGCTATTTGACCTTCACAGGTCCCTTCCCACCCAAACCATTCTATGATGCTGATTCTACAAAGCAGAATTATTTTGCTGACTGGGCTTTTCCTGAGGCAGGTCTCTCTGATGCAGACTTTACATGGGATGCCAACCAAACACTAACAGACCCCCACAACGAAGTTCCCACCTTCCCGTGGGCGTCATTACCTCATTTTGGAAAGAAGTGTTGGGGTGCTGGTGGCCAGGACTGCTGCTGGCTGTCTGGTCCCCAGGGATTGGTGTTGATGGCTGTGCACTGGCAGGGCTCTGCTCAGTACTCCCAGGCTTGGTTGGCACAGATGTGGCATCTGGGCTTCTCTGCTCTGAGCCCCCAAAACACACCAAAAAGACACAAGCAGACAGACACTGATGCAATACAGAGGATGCAGGTGGCACAGCTCCATTCATGAGCAGCTGAAAATGAGTTTTCAACTCAATTCCTGCCTTGAAGCTCATCGTGTCAAAGGTTGGAGAAGCTTTGGGCTGCTGCTTTGATTTTTTTAAGTTAACTTTGGTACAGAGAAAAAATATTCTTGCTGATTTTACTGACTGCTGCTGGCATCCGTCAGGGTGTTCTGGAGAGGTGAAGCCAAAGGCTGTGCTGGCTGTGCTTTGATTGGGGGGTAACCACTTAAAAAAGGAGTATTGCTAGGTAAATAGGTGGCCCAAATTTCACTTTGTCTGGGGGGACTTCCATGGAAATTTCTACCAGAGAAGTAGACTGTCTACTGGGGACCTTCTCACGGCCTTTCAGTTATTAAAGGGGGCCTATCAGAAAGCTGGGGACAGACTTTTCAGCAGGGCCTCTTGCAGCACGACAAGGGGAGATGGTTTTAAACTAAAAGAGGGGAGATTTAGACTAGAGAGAAGGAAGAATTTTATTATGCTGGGAGTGGTGAGCCCCTGGCCCAGGTTGCCCAGAGATGCCCCATCCCTGGAAACATTCCAGGTGGTGTTGGCTGGGACTCTGAGCAACTTTCTCTAGTTGAAGATGTCCTTGATGAGTGCAGCAGGGTTGGACTAGAGGAGCTCTAAAGGTGCCTTCCCACCCAAACAATTCTATGATTCCATGATTTTATGACTCTGAGCTGGCTACCCAGGATCCCCCAATGAACTGAGTTCCTTGTTCAGTTGGTGGTGAAATGCCATAACCTCTGTTGACTACATCTCCAGGAGCTACTGAAGAAGTCCAAGGTGACTTAGAAGTACTCTACTACTACTACTACTACGATGGTGACGACAAAGTGGTGCCTGGTACTATTGAGAGAGAGGTGTCCTGCCTGCCTGCTCCTCCAGAAGGGCACTTGCCCCACCTCTCCCAGCCCCATGCAGGTGTCTCAGATACCTGAGGTCATCTCCAGATGCCCTTGTTAAGGTCTGTAGCATCTTACAGTTTCTTCTGCAGTGGGCATAGCAGCCTCCTGCCTCCCCAGATCCTTTGGTAGAAGTGGATCTCCACCCCTGCATTCCTAATTGATCCTTAAATGGTGACAAAGAGAATTAAAATGTCACAGCCTGTTCACAGCCTGTTTGCTCTTGGGACTCCTGCCTCTTCCACAGAAAAGACAAGGGATATTTCTCTCCCAGACACGTTCTGAAGGCTCCAGCAGAGAAGTAATTTCAAAGCCATCTGTTTCTCTGGCATTCTCTCACCTATTTAATAAATGTAAAGGGTTTTTTAGACCTTTTCATGCTTAACGCTTGAATGTTCAAATTTGAATTAACAAGATTTCATGAATCATCCTTTCATGGAGAAAAGTCCTGTGGAGCAGGAGGAGAAAGGAGCATCCTTCATGAAGATACCCATCTCACCTCCTCATGCCTGCTGAAGGTCTCGAAATATGGCCTGGGTGAAGATGGTCTTTCAGAAGGGCCTTGGCCTATTTAGTGGTGCTGACAGGCAGAAGACTGAGGGGCAGGGAGATGTTTTTTTGAGTGCCTTCCATAGGTAGGAGAAGGTACCTGGAAACTGGGTGAGGAACAACATTCTCCCGAAGATGACAATGAAGAGCTCCAGTGGAGTTACAGGCAAAATACCAATGGGGAGCTTAAATGTGCCTCACAGGGCACTTAGGAACTCACCTAAAGCTCCAGAGGTCTCGAGAAAACATATTAATGGTGTTCAGCAAGATCCTAAACACCACGTGGACACTCATAATGCTGCTTAGACAGAAGTCAGCAGCCAACCCCACCCATGGCAATGATGACTATCCCACCTAACTGCTTAGACCCTTTAGAGGCTGTAGACTCAGAGTTTAGCCATAAAATCTCCTTAGTCATCTAAAGCTTAATTTCTGTGCATGCCCAGACAGCCTTCACTAAGCTGTCAGCCACACTAGGGATCTTCTACAGCCAGTATTTAGGGATGCTGTCAATGTCTCACCAGCCTCCAGGTCAATGCCAACCTCCACCTCCGAACCCATGGCTGCTGGCTCCCTTCTGCAGTCACTGAAGATGGAGTCATTGCAGTTGATGGTGCTCCAGGCACACTTTGGTCTAATGTCTACACTTTGCCAGTTTGATTCATGCTTTGGATTCCACTAACTGCATTGACTCCTTCTCCACTGATGGCAACGGGAACCTAAACACCCAGTTGTCATAGAGACAACCACGCTGGGAAGTCCTAAAACAAGGCAAGGTGATGACACCCCATAACGACAGGAAATGTTTAGGGTTGCCAAAAAAACCCCAAAAAAAGACCACGAAAGGGCATCCCAGAGCAAGCAATCAAGGTTCTCATCTTCTGGTACCTGCTGCAGGGGTCGTGGTGGTGGCTGCCTCTGAGACCTTGCCGGTGCTGCCCGTTGGTGAAGACAGAGGTGCTTTACTAGTGGAGTGGGCCACAGATGGAACAGAAGTGGTGATAGAAGTGTTCATGCTTCCAGCTCTGGTAGAAGAGACCGGTCCCTGGACTGGAGAGCTGGAAGAAGAATGAGGCTGAGTGGCAGCAGAGGTGGGAGAAGAGGCACCGTCGTCCTTGTGCCCAGGGGAGAGGCTGCTCCTTGGTGCTCTGGTGCCCGCAGTGGTGCTGCTGGGCTGGTCCAAAGGCTGGCTTCCCTGAGCTTGCACACTGGAAGGGGAGGTGGCAGAAGCCCCTAAACCTCTTGTGGTGTTTGGAGGGCTGCTCGCATGAGTGAGGGCAGGATTTGTAGCAGTGGTGGCTGCCGACCTTGCCACGTTGGCCGAAGGGCTAATCTCCTTCTGGGTGGCACTGGGGGCTGCAGCAGGGTTGATTGTTGGGGCTATGGAGCTGCTGGAAGAGCTGACCTGCTGAGCCAGGTGAGCTGATGTGGGGGTGGGTGATGGGTTGCTCAGGGTGGTCCCTTGAGGTGTAGGTGACTCTGTAGAGGCGGATGATGTGTTTTCTGGCTTGTTTGGAGGTGGGTTGCCTTGAACCTGTGTTGGTGATGTCACAGGGAGGGGTGGTGGACCCTGGCTTGCAGTGGTGGTCTTTTGGGCCGTGTCTTGTGGTACCACAGTGGGGGGAGATGAGTTTCCTGGTATTTGTGCAGTGGAGAGCCTGGCACTCGTGACCTGCCCTTTATCTCCTGGGCTTGCAGAAGTTGTAACATCCTGAGAGCTGACACCTAGGGAAAAGTAAAAACACCAAGATAAACTTTGAACTAAGGAAAGTACCCTTGGTTTCCACCCAGAACAGGTATTTGTAGAAAAGATGTGCAGCCCCCCTCCTGAAACACAGTTCCTAGTTCTGTTTCCCCACCAGCTGCCAGGAGCAGCCCTTCTGAAAACACCAGTAAGATGTGACTTCAACTGAAATTAGCAGCAGGATTTTTTAGGAAAGCTTGGGCTTGCTAGAAAACATCTCCACTACCTGTGGGAAAGGAGCTTTTGTGATGACAAGTCATATTTCCTATAGACTGACCACTGTCTGCAGAGAAGAAGGGGTAAGGAAGCAAAACCCAGGCATGGGGACCTAGCAGATGAAACCCAAGTGCTAAAGAGAGGAGGGAGTTTTCATTTAGCCACCTCCTTCTCTGTGTTATCATCTTCCCTGGCTTGGGTCATCAGTGATGGTTGCACTAGGCTAGAGACCAGGCATCCAGGTAGCCACGAAATGGGTCTATCCCCAAAACAGGGCTTTGATGGGCTTTGACAGCAAGGGAGGTAAAAAAAAATAAAAATAAAAATTCTCTAAAGGTAGAAACAATAGAAAAAAAGATGTAAATAAAGACGAGGTCAGAAGGAAGGTGGAGGAAGTCACCCACTGCTCTCGTTTCCTCCTCATGCCCCAGCTCCATCCCAGAGAGTCAGGAAGCAAACAGACACCAAAGGAGAGGTAGAAAAGACAATTCAAGACAATTCAATTCAACTCGGTCCAAAAGAGAAGGGGCAGGTCCATGCTTTGGCTCTGGACCAGCCTCGGTGGCCAGCTAGGAGCCCACAAGCCAAGAAACTGATCTCCTGGCCCCAGCACTTCCCCTTCCCTCCCAAAGAGCTGCAGACACGTTTTTAACACTTTTAGCAAAAACTGGGGTGGGGGGAAAGCTCAAAGCAAGGGGTTGCTCTGCTGCTGGAGGAAGCTGGTGTGATCCTCCAGGCTTAGCAGGGCCTCTTTCAAGAGACACAGGATGACACAGCCCAATAAAACAACCAGGAGAAGGACCAAGACTCAAGTTGATGCACACAAAGCTTAGCAGCATTTTATCTCTGCATCCACCCCTAGCACTCCTCTCCTCCTAAGGTCAACAGATGTTCAAAGGTCTGTTAAATGATTTATTCTTCCTCATTAAGCCAGGACCAGTGATTTAAGTGGGCTCAAACCAACCTGAGGAGCCAGCACACTCCAGCTTGGAAGTGGTGAGCTGGATGGATGGATGGATGGATGAATAGATGCATTAAATGTGTGCTGACCACACAGGCAGGTAAGACACCATCCATCCTACTACAAGAGCCTGGCTGAGGTCAGGTGATGCTATAGAGGTAGAAATCACTCTCCTTTGGTGGGAAATGACCTGCATCCTTTTGACATGTCACAACACAAATGATATACAAGCCAGAAGATAATTCACCACCTCGTTCCCTCCCTACAAACCCACTCCTGCCATATTGGGTTGGATGGGACCCCTGGGAAGCCCTTTGCAAAAGATCTCCCCACCCAAACTCGATCTAAAGGTGATGTTACTAACCTCCACACCATCTCAGCTGCACTGCTACCAAACTTTCACTGTCCCCCTTTCTTTTTCCACAGCTAGCTTGTCCCAAAGCAGAATATATTGAAGAATTATTGTTTCTGGCTGAAATGAGGTAGCTGTGGTGACCAGCAGCCATGGAGATGGCCACACAAGAGGAAATCCAGGCAGGTCACAAACCTACCACGATTCCAAGACAACATGCACCACCATGGCCTGGACCCACAACGTGCCAGAGGAGAACAGAAACCAGCCACAGCTATGGCTCGGTGAGCTCCTCCTTCCACAGAGTGTCATGGCCCTTGTCCACCCTGACAGATGTCCCACAGATTTTTGGGCACTCATCTGTCAGTGAGATTTACCTTCTCCTCCTAGTTGCATTAAGTTGACAATAAGTTGGGGGACACAAAAAGGGTCAGAGGGCTGGAACCCCTCTCCTGGGAAGACAGAGAGTTAGGGTTGTTCAGCCAGGAGAGGCGAAGGCTCTGGGGGGACCTTCTGGTGGCCTTTCTGTACTTGAAGGGGGCCTACAGGAAAGATGGAGACAGGCTTTTTAGTGGGCCTGTTGTGACAGGACAAGGGCTGTTGGTTTTAAACTAAAAGAGGGAGATTTAGATTAGATCTAAGGAAGAATTTTTTTTATCCTGAGGGTGTGGAGACCCTGGCCCAGGCTGCCCAGAGAGGTGGGAGAAACCCCATCCCTGGAAACACCCAAGATGAGGTCAGATGAGGCTCTGAGCAACCTGCTCTAGTTGCAGATGTCCCTGCTGACTGCAGGGGAGTTGGACTAGATGACCTTTAAAGGTCCCTTCCAACCAAAACATTCTATGTTTTCTAGGATCCTAAATCAAACTGTTTTCTCACCACTGTTGCAGAAGGAGCCAGATGCTGCTGCAGTCTCAGGGCTGGAAACCCTTCTGCACTTTTACTGCCCTGGGCTTGATACCAGTTGTTTGCCCAGGGACTGTCCCACTGCAGCACTGGGAAAACATGTATTTTATACAGACAGAGGAAAAACAAATTGCATTTTTGGTGTCTTGCAGGTTCCCCACCTGCAGAAGGTCTGGCTTACACAACTCATTGCTCCCCTTTTCAGAAACTGAGAGAATACTTAATTCCAAAGCAGATACAGATTCAGCACAAGCAGCAAAGCATCATGGAATCATTTAGGTTGGAAAAGAACTTTAAGATCGTTGAGTCCAACCATTAACCCAGCACTGACAAGTCCACCACTAAACCATGTCCCTCAGCATCGTTTCTACAAGTCTTTTAAATCTCTCTGGGGATGGGGACTCCACCACTGCCTAGGACAGCCTGGGACAGGCCTGGACAATTTCTTCCCCTTTTGGGGAAGAAATATTTCCGCATGTCCAACCTAAACCTCCCCTGGGGCAACTTGAGGCCATTTCCTCTTGTTCTATTGCTTCCTCCCTGGGAGCAGAGCCTGACCCCCCCCTGGCTCCAGGCTCCTGTCAGGAGCTGTGCAGAGCCAGAAGGTCTCCCCTGAGCCTCCTTTGCTGCAGGCTCAGCACCCCCAGCTCCCTCAGCTGCTCCTCCCCACACTTGGGCTCTAGACCCTTCCCCAGCAGCTCCGTTGCCCTTCTCTGGCCACGCTCCAGCCCCTCAAGGGCCTTCTGGGAGGGAGGGGCCCAAACCTGACCTGAGGATTCAAGGTGCAGCCTCACCACACCTCAAGCCCAGAGCACAGCAAGCCCAGGAGTCACAGTTGCCCTTCCACATGTGCTGCATCTTTTTAAAATGCCAGAGAACTATTTTTCTTCTCTTCTTCCTTAACCAGCCACTAGTGCCAAATTTTCATGGTGGACCTGGGCATGAGCCCCTGTTTGCCTGGGCTGGTAGCCAGTATTGGCTGACAACAGTCCTCAACAAAAGAAACAAATAGGATCTGGTCTATGGAGGAAAAAATCCCCTGCACCCACAGGCTGGTGGTAATAACAGCCAGAGAGGACAGGATTATGCTCGGTGCCCCTTCAGCATGAAAATTACTCACAAAAGATACAGTACGTCCCTCTGTAGGAAACAAAAGACTCTTTCATGCCATGAGTCCCAGAGATAAAAGGATTTAACACATGCTATGGGAGAGGAGGAGGATGGAGGAGGTGTCCTCTTAGCTATCACTCCCCTTACCAGGAGGAGATGCTTTCCAAACCCCCAAAAGAAGGTTCACTTGAACTTCAGCCAGTCTTTCACCCTGTTTTCCAGAAAGCAGAAAAAAACTACCTGCTCCTGACCTTCCTGGCTGCATCTTGGCAGGGCAAGGCCACTTCTCTGACTTCATTTTTTTGGACCATCATCTGTTCTTCATTTTAAAGAAAATGAAAGTAATGTAGCAGCTACAGGTGCATTTTGACAGCACTGCTTGCAGTGAGTCTGATGCTTCGGTCTGTGCCTCTCCTCCTGCATGACTCACTCAGAAAGCCCCAAACCTTTGCATTTCTGGGCTGGGTTTGGGGCAGACCCACAGGAGGCGTGTGCCAGCCCTCCGAGCACGCATCTGCGTGCAGAGCGACCAAACAGCCCGGAGGAAATGAGGCCACTGCAAAAACATGACTTCATTTCCCAGTGCCTGTGTCCCATGACCGTGCCTGAGATAGGGTGTCTGTGGTGGGGGACAGCCCTGGAGGGGACAGAACTTTTCCTTCTTGCTGACTGTCAAGGTGTCCCAGAGAGGTGGTCGATGCCCCATCCCTGGAACCATTCCAGGTGAGGTTGGATGGGACTCTGAGCAACCTGCTCTAGTTGCAGATGTCCCTGCTCAGTGTAGTGAGTTTGGACTAGATGATCTTTAAGGGTCCCTTCCAACCCAAACCAGTCTATAGCATGCTGGTTTGTGCCCATACAGCTCCTCACCACCATTTTTTAGCTGCTGTGCACCACCACTAACCACGCCGTGGAGCGATGCTCTGGTTGCAAGCTCGTTACAGAAGAGGTGGTGTTTTGCAGGCTGGAGAAGACACTCAGGGGAAATTGTTTGGAAAGGTCACGGCTTGGAGCACAAAAAGAGAAGCAAAACAGCACAAACCACAAAGCGAAAGGACATGTCCTGTCCCTCCTCCCACCAGCCCACCCGAAGCCACCACCTCTCCACACAGCTCCTCTGATTAATTCCCCGAAGCTTCCCGCTTCCTATTTCAGCAACGCCTCCTTTCCCCCCCTCCTCCACCCCATCCACCTTGTTGAAACGGCTCAGATTGGCTGAAAATCTATTAATAGTGAGAAAAGGAA